GCTACTCATTTCCACAGAACTGCACAAACAGGACTGTTTGTTTCTTATTATAGCTATGAAATGCTAACTAGCAAACACCCAAATCCTAGTAAAGAAAAGGCACAGTTTATGACCTTCCTATATTAACAAACAGTAATAAATGAGTGAGCAAAGCGTGCAAGTTTTTACCTGTGGACAGATGTTTACTGCAGCTCAGTTTTCTGTCTGTTAAGAGAAACTAGTTCTTGAAGTGAAGTTAGATAATTCATGCCAGTCAGTACATGGCAAGAAGGAACCTCTTCTCCTGGTGAGGATATTACCTGAGAATGAGCAATATTTAACCTGCATCTTTGTAAAAGATATGTGCATTGCAAACATTGCTACTCTTGTCAGTTTTGACTGATCTATGTTAACCATCCCAGGGAAAAAAACACAGCAGCAACTTTTTAGTTTTCTGCAACAAAACACAGAACAAAATTAAACAAAAGAAGACAGAACAAAGCCACTTTTAGCAGGAAAGATAATGTCTAAGAAGTTGATGCAAGGAAAAGTTACATGCTTAAAGATAAGAGCAGATTACTCAAATTCACTACATTCATATGCAAACATAACTTTAATATAAAATCTGACAAGACAGAAAGCCCAAATCTAAGAATTGCAGAGAAAGGGATATAATTTGCATAGAGGGAAGCTAGGATGATCAGCAAAGGACATTATAGTTTATTTTTTTAACAACATCTCCAGTATTCTAATTTGTTGTTTTATTTGATTTTAAAGTGTACAGATTATGGTAATTCTATATTCCAGTGTCCCAATTAAAAGTAGGTTTCTCTTCAGTTTATACAATACATTAAAGCACAATTGACTTGAATCCAATGACACTATCACACTTTAAATTGATTATAATGTCTCAAATGTGGTTTTGGAGACCATTACCCACTGAATGTGAATACAAAAAAAATAACTTGGTTTTAGGTTTTGTGATTTTACCCAAAACAGTCCAGCTGGGTTGCTAGATTAAAGATAAAATAATTTTTTAAAACCCCTGCATTTAAAAACGCAAACACAATTTTCAGTCTTATGATGTGAAAATTTTCCAGCCTATGTAACTCCTACTGCCTACTTTCAAAAAATTCCCTTGTTCTGAAGTCAGTTCAGTGGCTATTAGAAGAAGTCACTGATGTAAATTCCATCTTGTTTATGAAAATATTTGGAACAAAGCATTGATTGTCCAGAGTTTATAAAAAAAATTAAAACCTATAAAATGTTGGCATCACTACTATTTGGGGCATGAGAATGACATGCATATAAATCATGGTTTATTGGCACAGTCTTTTATACACAGAAAGCAGGCTTTGCTGCAAACAGAATTCATCGATACACTGTAATCCCCTTCTTTTATAGATTTGTTTTTAAAGTATTGTGAATCGGGAAAAAATCTGAAGCAAATCTTAGTCTACACTAGGAACCAGGGGCACAAGAAATGACATGGGTTAGCTATGGCAGAGGGGCAGAGTAGGGGAGTTTGGGGAAATCAGGGTGGATGGAAAGGCCTCGTTGTGAAGCTCTGGGAGGGAAGGTCATTTGTGTAGCTGATGTCCCTCCATGCAATTAAAGCGACATCTCTATTAGCCTTGGGGACAGCAATCTGTTGCTCCATTTTGTAGGAAAGAGTCCTACTATCACTATTTAAGAGAAGTAACAGTTTACTAGAGGTTTTCACAGGACTCTGTCCCTTCATGGCCATCATGAGGTGGGTGAAAGAGGCCTTTCATGCTGGCAGATTTTCCTCTTAACACCAGGGTTTTTTTCTGGGCATATTTTGGCAAATATTGATCCACAGCCCCTTTAGCAAGGGAAGTAGAGCAATCACCTGCCAATACTTAGCCAGGCATATGAAGCCACCCTTGTGCCTCACACACTGCTGCTTTGCTTGATGGTTGAAAAATAAGAAACTTCTCTCCTGGTCCAGGCCCCGATGAGATATCATCCAGGCCAGGTCTATCCCTCTGTATCCACGCTGAACCAGAACTGGCGGTGTCATTTGTTGCTTTACAATGGCATCCCATTGGGAAATAAGTGTTCAGGTCTCACTGCGGGAAGTGATCTGATTCTCACAGAATTCCTGAGTAGCCCAGTCTTAGCAACAGGAAGATTTTGAAGGTGTTGGTCACCTAATCATTCTAAGAATACTTTGTTTAAAACATCTGGTTTTAAAAGTTTCACCTCTGTTAGAACCCATAGGATAGCTGCAGTACCCTAGACTCAAAGGATATTCCCCACTGGATGGTGAAAAATCAGCGGCACAAACTATACCAGATTGTTAAGTCCTGAGAATGGAGCACCCCGTAATTGCATTGCTCCAGTTCTAGACAACTAAAATGTCACTGAAGTTACACCAGAGTAAACCAAGAGAAACAGCAATGAACCAGCCCAAGAATTCTCCAAGATAATTCTTTCCTTTTTCTTTTCCAGTAGCAAAATTATTGGCAGCCACCAGGGATCAATGCCGTAATTAGCCTTGAAGTGCAGCACTGGAGAGCAAACAGTCCAGCAATCCAAGCAATATTCTGTTAAGTCATTCTACTGGACTGCAAGGCTTGTGGGTGGGATTCTCCCAAGTGAAAAATATGGCAATGCCACAAGACTAAGTTCTGCCTATTTCTTGGAATTTTAGTAACAGCCATAAAATTTGTTGTTGGCACCTGAACCTTTAGAAGCACTAAGCAAATTAAACAATCAAGTCTCAGTCCTACAGCTCTTCTCCTCATATGATGCTTATTAAAATACATGTGGTGAAGAGCTTCATGAATGGGTTCCAGAGTTTTCAAGCAGAAATGCCTAAAATCAGGTTCATAAATCCACATCTAAATATTTGAATGTTATACTCATTTTCCAATTTTCTTGAGCTTCTGAAAATTGCAAATGCTAGAGATTTTGAAAAAAAAAATCAAGCCAGTTTATCCAAGTCTTTAATCTGAATTAGGGTCTGCATTAACACCATTTTCTAGAATTGTCCATCGCAGGCATCAGGAGTAGTCCTGTGAAGGCTAAAGGAGGCATGGTGTGGCAGCCCTGATGTGTTCTGAGTTGATTCCAGTTCTCTGGAGCTAAAATACCACAGGAAAGCTGATTAAAATGATGTACACACCTGGCTAACGAGGATGCTTTCTATTCTATCAAGTTTGGAAATTTGGCCCACAGACTGATATGAGATATTCCTGGTGCAAGCACACTATTACCATTCATCTTAACAAAGTAGTCCATCACTGATCATGTGGCATAACTCTTCCGAAACCCTGCCTGTACTAATAATTTCGCCTTCAAAAAAGTCAAGGAAAAAATAAATGTAAGAGATCAGAAAACTATGAAGAAAGGCTGGCAACATCACAGCCATTTTAACAAGAGCTTGGCAACTTGTGTAAGTTAGAGTGATTGCATACATGCATAAGTAGTTCCAGCTTGTCTGCACACACAGCACGTACTATCCACATCCATAAATGTTGTGTTCTAGCCCCGGGATTCTTCATTTCAAGTAGACAATGAATAAGTTGAACTGTTATGCTTGTGGTTGTCTTCTCTAGTGTTGGAGTATATTTTTAACCCAGAGGATCTGTTTAGGAGAGCCAAAACTATGTATACTAATGGCAGTTACAGAACTGGGTGTGAGAGAGCTAGACAGCCTGATGGCTTGGAAGAAAATGGAGCATGGAGACAGGAAAGAAACATAGTTATCAGGGCAAGGACTCCTGCATGTGTTAGAACAGCCTGTTCATCAGGGAGTGTCTAATTCAGCCACAGTGTCCTCTACTGGCTAAACCCAGATCGCTGGAAAGGATGGTGTGTTCACGCTGTTTTCATTCTTCGGTCCCCAATTTAAAGCATTTCAGCAGAATCATACTTTCAAGCAGCCAATTTTCTTCACCTCATCCCTTTTTGCCCTCAATACTTTTAAAAATCAAGAAAGCAGACTCCTTATGGCTATTAAAGCTTCGTGACATTTACTCTCCAGCTTGTGTCATAAGACCTCTGTCAGAAGCAAGTAAGAGTTTCTAGATGGGGAATTTCAGTCAATTTAATTTATTGCCAATTAATGAACTTCTAATTACTGATTCTGATATTTTTTAAAAAATAAATAAAACACTTCTGCTCCCCTCCCTACACCTCTCCTCCCCTCTTTCTGGTCTCCAGTCCCCTCACTGTGGGCTGCACTGAGACCCTTTGGGGAGGCAAGGGCTGGTGCAGAAGGGGGTACACAGATGGTGGCTGCTTGTCTTTTTCCACGCCTTGCTTTATACTCAGTTTCCCCAGAGTGGGTTCCTCCACCTGCAGCCAACCCATCAGACCCAAGCCTCCTTCTCTCTGCCCCAGCTCAGGCATCTTTTCTTCCTCTGGCCCCTGCCCGAGATCCTGTTTTACTCCAGCTTTTCTCCTGCGCTGCCATCTCTCCTCTCTCCTCCTGCTCAGGTGTGGTCTCTTCTGTCTTTCTTCTCCTCCTCTGGTGGTATTGTCTCTTTTTCTCAGTGTTTACCACTCTTTCTTAAACACATTTTCCAAGAGGTTCTAGAAACTCCTCCAACTGGTTCAGCACTGCAGGCGGAGCAGTCTGCAAGCGGCTGCATCAGGCACAGGGTGGTCTGTGACCTCGTACTGAGACGTCCCACAGCCACACCACTGCCAAAACCCTGCCAATTCTGCCCAGTACACACCTCAAGCCCTGCTTGATAATTAAAAAAAAAAAAAAAAATCTGGCCAACTTCTAGTTCTACATTTTCTCCAATATGGGGATATTTTCCTTCACAAAAGCCTTTACATTTCTGGATATGAATATTTCTGGTATCTTTGGAAAGATCAGCCTAATGAGATCTGAGATAAGGAATCTAAATTAAAGCAGGCCTTTCTCCAGCTGGCCGGTGCACATTCCCTGGGCGTGTTGCTCTGGAGGGTTTCAGCTTGCAAGGTGACTGCTCTGTGCCCTGTGTGGCTCCCACAGACACCAACAACCTGTATCCTCCTTTCAGGTTCTGGACGACAGCTGAGACCAGCTGAGCCTCCGGGAGGTGCTGATGGTGATGCAGATGCAGAGGATGAAGATTCTGTGAGTTTTTTTAGAGGTTTTTTGAGGGTGATGGGGGTTTAAGAGTTACCTTGTTAAAATGGGATATTAAATTTATTTTTTTTAAAGCTGGGTCTTGCTGGTGATTTTTCTCCCCATTAAAAATGTATTTCTGCTTGGGATTCTCCTGCCAGCTCAAAAGCCAGAATGCTGCTTCAATGTAAAGTGATCCACTCTTTGCCATTATTCACCAGCATAAGTTTAACACTAAGACTTAGCAAACTATTGACTTTTCTTTAAAGCTTTAGCCAGTTTAGGTTCTGTATTGTGTGACTCCAGAAGGACGCATGCCAAGTGCTTGTCAGCTTTTTTTTTTCCATGGTTTGTTTGGTTATAGAGGGCAGTAAAGTTTGAATGTGCAGGATGCAAAGGTTAGGTGTGCAAATAAAGCAAGGGAAGGAATTTTTATAACCTTTTTCAATTATTACTAATTGATCTGTCAGTATTTTCAGTCTGTTCTGCCCACAGATGCATATAACACATAGAAAACCAAAATCAGCATATCATTGTTTTTCTCTCTCAGGAGTCTGTTCTTGAGTAACATCCTCAAATGAGAATTCTATTCATTCTTGACCTAAAGAAAGAGTTATTGGTTATTTTACATTCACCATTACTAATAAACAATTTGTACACAGTAGGAGACTGTGCTTAAGTAGGAAAACTCTTAAAAAATGGGTCACTGTTTAGTGGTGAATGTTCCTTTCCTGCGACTCATTTCTTTTCCACAGGTTAATGAAGTGGCAGTAGAAGACATCCGTCCAAGGCCACAAGGATCCTCTCCAGTTTATGACTATTCCATAGAAGAAGAATATTTAAAGGCAAGACACTGAGTTTTATTGCAGGCATGGCTTTACAAAGTTCATTCAAGAGGCTTTAGCTCCTACAATTAGCTGAGACTCATATCTCAGGATGTTGTTGCAGCCCTATTGTCTTCCTGTCCCCACCAAAATCAGGGCCATGTTCATTGATGGTTTTGTATTATCCTGGACTTGTTGTTGGCCATGTTCTTGTTTCTTGGCAAAAAATGCATTCAACTTAATTCCTTAAAGGACCTGGGGCAGAGAATGTCAGGAAATCACAATGCTTTTCCCATTAGAATATTTAACTGGCTTGAATCTAGCCAATATGTATTTCAAAATTACCTGTACCTGTTGGCTATTCAAAGTAAAAGATTTAATTAGTACAGTCACATTAAGATAAGTAGGCGACAGTTTAAAATTCATGCTGAAGTAGAATAAATGAAAAAAATGTATGTTACAAGATGAATGCATGAGAAATGTGCTACATGAGTAACACACAGAAAAGTTCCCAATGTCTTAATACAATTGGTCTCTGGCATTCGTTTCATGCAAATTTTGGTACAATGCAGGGAGGCTTGAAGTGTATTTTACTACTGGGAATAATATAGTTAAATCATTCATGATGTACATTGCACTTGTAGATCCCAGTTTTGCTCTGTCACCAATAAAGTCAGCCTCAGTTCTTAGTCTAAACCAGGGATTTTAACTGATGTAGGATTTTTGTTGTACTTTACAAGAGCATGACTTCTGAATACTAAATAATTGCGAATTATTTTTCAGCTTCAAGAAGAAAACAAAAAAAATTCTACAGACAAATCAAAACAGAGTCATCCACAGGTTGGTCTAAAAGCACTATGTAGTTTTAGGCACGTGGCTTGCAAAATAGTAAAGTCTATTACAACACACAGACGTGGATGGGTGGACAGAGGGAAGGACAAATGGGCAAAGAATTACTTTAGACTTGTTTTGACCAGGAACTTCACAAATTGCCTAGTTGTAGCACAGGCATGAACACTTACTTGTCCTGTTTGGGGTCCTTCGATAATTCTTTTCAGCATTCTTTACCTTTCTCTGGTTTGAGTACAATACAACATTAGCTCTTAGTCTGACTTTTCTGGCCCATTGACTCTGATTCAGGTGCTTAACATGTTCATAGAAAATACAATCTTTCAACCCTAAAAGAGTCCATATTTCTCATTTTTAAATTATAACCTAGCTTCCCTATGTCTCTGATCCAGCATAACCCTAACACATGTGCTTAATTCTGATTCAGAACAGAATCAAACTGAACAAATACATTCTCTGTTTTATATAGTCTTTCTTGAGCTACTGAATAAATACCTAAGGATTCTCAATTTTTCAATCATAGAATAATGTAGAACAGTTTGATATAAATGAATAAAAATTATAAATTCACATCTTTTTCTATATCTAGGAGACAATGGAAGTGACCCTGGAAACAGAAGTGGAAGCTGGTGCTAGTGGTTTTAGTGTGACTGGTGGAGGAAATGAAGGAATATTTATTAAAAAAGTACTTAAGGAATCTCCTGCTTCAAAAATATTTAGTCTGAGAGAAGGTACAGTCTCTTTTGGTGGTGGTTTTTTATTTTTCAATGTCTTAAAATAATCAGGTATTTAGCTGTGTGGATATGTAAATAAGTATCTGATCTGTCATCTCTTTAGGTAATAGAAATAGTAGATCCCAAATCAACCAATGATGTTATGTGTGAGCTTAACTTTTCCATATGAATAATTTAAAAGACCAGTTTCTTAAACAATGAAATGTGATTTTTAAAAAAATCTATTTTTCACTGGAACAGTGAAAAAGATATATAGAAAGTAGTATATACACAACTAAAATTAAAAAAAACCCTCAACTCATAACATTCATGAAGAACCTGCCTTTGATTCTTTCACAAAATATGGTATGTCACAAAACTACAATAAATAATGATTTAAACAAGAACAAAAGTCCGAAGTCTAAATACTGAAAAATGTAAGAAAAATCTTTGTTACTGTGAGGGTGGTCAGACACTGGAACAAGTTTTACAGAGAGGATGTGGAGGCACTGTCCTTGGAAATCTTCAGAACCTGACCTGATCTGTAGCTGACCCTTCCCTGAGCAGGACAGCTGGACTAGATGATCTCCAGAGGTCCTTTCCAGCCTTAACTATTCTGTGATTCTATTATGTGAACACAATTTCATATTTTTAAGAAACAGGATGTGATAATTTTTTTTTGTGCACATTAATTCAACAGAATCTGAAAAACTGTAAAAAACCACAAACTAATTAAAATGATATCTGATTCCACCTGCAGGTGATCAACTTCTAAGTGCTACCATATTTTTTGATAATATCAAATATGAAGATGCCCTCACGATTCTCCAGTATTCCGAGCCATACAGAGTCCAATTCAGCCTCAAAAGAAAAATCGCTGGGAAAGAAGAGCTAGAACACATTCACTCTACAGCCAAGTACAAAAACGAAAGAATAAACCAGGTAGATATTTGATTAGGTTACAAAGTTTGGATAACACTGTAGTAATGTGCTGTGTGGAAAGAGACAACAAAACACGCACTTGTGTCTTCTTAGGACTTAGGCATGGTTTAAACTTACTAGAACGAATATTCATGAGAAGGAAAAAAATCTCACACAATATTTGCAGCTTTTAAAACATCCTGGCCAAGACCATAGATTTTGGATAAAGCCATGATCTTGCATTAGGGTAGAAAATAAATCTCTAGTGAGACAGCACTTACTTAGTTGTTAAGTATCCACTGACAGAACAGGCTCAGATAAGCTCTGTAATGTTTATTTTCAGTGTTTTCCAAAATGTAAAATATCAGCAAATATTTTTCTCAAAAGCTGATTAATAAAATTTCCTCTTAAAAATACGGGTTTTACCACTGATATCTCTGTAGACATGATCTGGTCATAGGTCTATATCACATTAAAAAGTATTTTTCTCTCCATATAAATGTATATAAATATCATATCTATATACTTGTATAGACATAGAGAGCGGTACATATCGAAACCTCTGTTTACTGCAATGTTTTACAAAGAATGTCAACCTTCAAAAATACACAGATTACTCTCATATAATCCATTTTTTAATGTAATTTCTGCCTAAATTAGATACACCATTTTCAGGAATTTTTTATATAATAAGTATACACTGTGAACAGAAAACACATTTTTCTATATAATTTTTAGTATGTATTTTATGTTGTGCTGCATCTATGTTTAGCTTACCTTTAATCTTCTGACTACTATTTGTTCTTTCAGGAAAAAGAACTCAGTGAAAGCATTCCTGAAGAAACATTGCATGTTTCAGGAAAAGACATTTCAGAAGAAGACAAGGAAACATTAATTGCAAGCCAAAGGGTAGGAAGAAGCAAGAGACCTAAAAAAGACAGATTATCATGGCCAAAATTCCAGTCAATCAAAAATAAAAAGATACTGGGGCACAGAAGATCTCATAGCACATCAGATGCATATGAGCCTGCTGTACAGGATGTTTCCCCTACAAGCACAGACACAGAGTCTCAATCTCAACAAGAAGTCCGTATCAAAGAAAAAAAAGGGAGCCAAAAGAAACTGAAGTTCCCTAGCATTGGGTTCAAAATGCACAGATCCAAACCAGAACCACAAGACAAGCAAAAAAAAGAAATAAAAGCTACACTCTTATCTGAAAGAGAAAAAATACATAAAGAAGATATCAGCCTGGAAAATCCTGAAGTCCTAACTGTTGAATATACCATGTCTCCTGGTTATGAAATTAAAACAGGTGAGGTACCCGAAACTTTAGCAAAAGACTTAAAAGACATGAAAAATGGCATTCCATCGCAAGCAAAAACATGCCCTGAAGTTGAAATAAGCATTAAAAAAGAAAAAGACAAGGAATCAACATCAAAATATACTCTACCTGAAGTACCAGCTGCAACAACTCAGATATCAAAGCCCAGTTTAGAAACACCTGATCTGAAAGAGAGCCCGACTAAAAAAACACAGCAAGCCTCATCAAAATCCCGAAAAAAGAAGCAGAAAGGAACAGCAGATAAAACAGAAGAAGGAAGTGGAATTAACATAGACAAGATGGGTCACACAGCACAAGGACTTATACAGGTTAAAGGTCTAGAAATAGGCACTGCTAAAGCAGAATTACACATAATATCTGACACACTGGACACAGAAGAAAAACAAGCAGAAGACACACAAATAATAAAAATTCAAAAAACAAAGTTTGGGCTTTCGATGCCCAGAAGAAAAGAACCAGACACTGGAAACATCAAGCTGGGAAGTGATGCTCCACAGCCAGTATCAGAAAAAACAGCTGATACAAGATCAGAGGAAAGCAGGAATTTGGATGTGAAACCTCACATGCCTGATGCAGAATCAGAACTACCGACCTGGAAAATACAAATGCCATCATTCAAAATGGCCAAAACACCGAAAGCTGGCATGAAAATAGCAAGAGAAGAAAGCACATCTGAATCAGCAGATACTGTACAAAAAGCACAGACAGAAGATGGAATGCCCACAAGTGATACAACTGTGAGGATGGACATTGAAATGAAGACAGGGGAAAACGATATAGAGGGGAAAGAAAGCAAATTCAGACTACCAAAGCTGAAATTGCCTACATTTACCTGGGCAACAACAAAGGATGAGACAGGGCAAAATGAACGTCACATAAGAGACAGGGAAGAAAAAACGACATCCCTAGAAGTGGATGCAAAAACAGAGATCAATGTATGCGCAAAAGAAATTGAGGTTCCGAGCAATGAAATTGAAATTGAGATCTCCAAAGGAATAACAAATGACAAGGACATGGGACAAATGAGAGAAGTCCAGGTGCCAAGTATGAAAAACGTAACCTTAAAAACTTTCTTAACAGAAAATCACTTCGACGAAAGAGAAAATGAAATATTGATTAGCAAACCTGATACAGAAATAAAAAAGGATGAATTCAGTATATCACAACAGAAATTAGAAGAAATCTGTCAAGCTACACAAATTGAGATCAAAGCTCCCAAGGTGGACATCAGCCTCCCATCCGTTGACGTCAGCCTTCCAAAGGCCAGCGTTGACATGCAGGCGCCCGAGGCGGTCCTCACCCTCGAAGGGGAAGCAAAGGCCCCAGAGAAGGAGGCCGCGAAGACCAAAGACGGCAAGTTCAAGATGCCCAAGTTCGGCATGCCTTCCTTTGGCTGGTCCAGCAGCAGAGAGGCCAAGGGCACGGCGGCCGCTGAAGTGGACGTTA